AGGCATATATGCAGTACATATTCATATATGCAGGAAAACATCTATACACATAAAATAAATAAATCTTTTAAAAAGACAAGTATATGCATCCTACATCCTAGCAGTAGGAACAAGATCACTGACTGGGGCTTTGTGAGCAACCAGTCTTGCCCAATAATTGAGCTCCAGTGAGCAACTCTTTTCTCAAAATACAAGGTGACTGAAGAAGACACCTGACATTAAACACACACACACACACACACACACACACACACACACACACACCACCACCACCACCACCTGCAGCAGCAGCAGCAGCAGCAGCAGCAACAACAACAACAAAAACTAACAGCCACCATCACCAAGAAAAAGCAAATATGAATTTTCGCTTCAGGGAGAAATGCTTCTGATGCCTAACTAAAGTAAGAAAACTGAGTTTTCAACATAGGAAGCTATTCAATTTGGGGATGTTTTCAGATCTAATAATTGAGTTATTTTCTCTATGTAGGTATGTATGGTATATGAGCACATGTGTATAGGTTTGTGTACTTACAAAGTCCAGCAGGTGTTTTCCTCTAGCACTTTGTCACTTGTTTTGACACAGTTCTCTCCCTGTAAGGTCACCATTTTGGCTAGGCTGGTCTGCCAATAAACTCCTGGAATCCACCTGTTTCTGCCCCTAATACTTGCATTATGGCAGGTGCAGCCATGCAGTGCTTGTATGTGGGTGCTTGGTATTCAAACTCAGATCCTCCTGTTTGCATAGCAAGTGTTCTTACTTAGAGAGATATGTCTCTTGCTCTTTTTATTTATTTGTATTATTATTTTTGAGATATAACTTTTGTTATTAAGTTCTGCTATTCACTATTTAGACCATGCTGGCCTCACACTTGACATGATCCTCCTGCCACTCTGCCTCCTGAGTGCTGGGATTACATGTGTGAGCTATTATGCTTAGCTAGATCTAATAATTCTCCCAGATACTTTAATCTCTGTTCCCATGATTCATCCTATAATTTACCATTACTCTAACCTAAACATGGTAAAATGCAGTTAACACTAACAAGACCACTAAAAATGAAACAAAATTACATAATCACTGTTAGTAGGTAAGCTATTCAATCATTGGTTTTCATTCTGACGTAAAGGAAATTAGTGAGCCATAATTAGAGTCCTAGAACAGTAAATGTCTTTTGAAAGGTAAAGCATGAAAAGTCATGTTAAGTAGAAGTAGACCTTAGTGGCCTGACTTAACAGTGCATGTGCCAAGAATCTATATAGCATGGCTACCTGCTCTTACTTTCTCTCCATTCAAATGCTGTAACAGCACATAAATAAGGACTCAAAAGACCTGGATTTTACTTCCAACTAAGAGGTGTCACTTCCTTTTCTAAGTCTACGTTTCGCTTTCAGTTGAATGGGAAGGCTAAGCCAGATTATGTGTAGTTAATCCCTATTCTAAAAATGCATAATCCTATCCTTTCGAAGACTTTGAGACCTAGGAAGTCTAGGACTTTGGCTGCTACTAAAAAATGTTGAAAATATTAATCTTTATAACATGTTCTCAGTTGCAGCCTTTAGAATATGTATGTATAGTTCACAGTTGGAAGAGGCATCCAACTCATATAATTTGTGCAATAAATAATTTCAAATCTATGGATTTGGAGCCATGTATCAAAGCCATCAATGCTTGTTAAAATAAGACATTATAAAAATATGTAAGCTAGGCATGGTGGAACAGCCAGTAAGTCCAGCTACTCAGG